TTTTGCTTTTCTGCCTGAAGCATTATTACTGAACTTTGGAGTCTATAGTATCTTTGTAAATAATAAACTTGTATATGTTTATTTGAAAAGAATTTGCTTTAATCTAATAGGTCGCCAAAGGTGAAATAATTTGATGTTATCCTTAAAGGACTATTTGAAAATGGCTCTCAAACCACAGAGAACTATATGTGGCTACATTTTGTGTCTGAAATTAATATATATACAAAAAACAATTAGAGTTTTATTTTCAGACCTAAAACAAATAAACAAACCCAACCCTGATATATGTTGAATCTTCTTGGTCTGGAAATATCGTCACACCCCTCTGTTTTTTATGCCACAACAGGTGTGAGCTGTGGTATCATCTGTTACCATCCACTAACCTCAAGCAAAATACTTATCGGAAAGCCAATACAACGGAAATTAACACCAAAAGTAGTTTTAGCTGAGCTTTTAGGCATGTATTTATAGAGTCTTCAGAACCACACCGTGCATCATTTCCCAACTTGGGCAAACTCAAAGATTTCTGCATTGCTTCAGATGAATTGAATCTACATTGCTCGTTTATTATCTACTAAATGGCAGAAGGATAGCAGTTTAAATGATAAAATGTATGTTTTTTTTATAATGACAATAGCACTGTCATGCCATTGTGTAAAGTCCTTCATAAGTAAAAAAAAAAAAAAAAAAGGACAAAAAGGATTTAACAGAATAACAAAGTTGGAAGGGACCTTGGAGGAGTCTTCTGCTCAAGCAGGAGACCCAATACTATTTCAAACAAATGATTGTCCAGTTTTTTTCTTGAAAGACTTCCAGTGATGGAGAAACCACAACTTCTGGAGGCAAGCTGTTCCACTGATTAATTTTTCTAACTGTAAAAGGTTAAGGTTCCTGTATACTTGCTCTCTATAGGGTTGCTGCCATATGTATATAGACCAACGTCTAAACAGTTGGTGCTTCTCTGACTCACTCCAAAACCCAGATTTTAGAATCCAGAGCTTTGATTTAATTCTTTTTTCTTCGCAACTTGGCATCCTTTATTCGCTCACTCTTTAAACAAAATCCACATAGTCTCCGGTGTTGTACAGTTCTACTACACTTTCAGGTTTTGTAGGTTATCTGTTTCTTTCATCTTTATTTAAAGGAATCCTTTACCTTTAAAAGACATTTTTGCAAATTCAGCCTACTGTATTGTTTCCTGTCGAGTAGGGTGGGGCAGGAAAAGCAAGCGATGGCTGTTAAATCACTTCTTTTACAGTTGCATATTTACCTGTAGATAAGATTCATGACATAAGGGGAGAATTAATTTCTGAGGGTGCTTTTATAAGAGTTGGGCTGGGTTGTTTTTTTTTGTTTGTTTGTTTGTTTATTTCCAAACAAGCTTGGAGAAGAACAATTGAATTCTGCTTCCTTCTGATTAGTTAGTCAGACAAATTACTTACACACTTTTGGAAATACAACAATATTGGGACTGATAGGAGAAGTGGTTTATTGGTCTATGCTTTGCAAATCTTCATCCTTAAAGAGGCTGCATTACATTTTAAATTAATGTTGGTGAAATGGTTCTTATGTCTATGCATAGGGCAACTGGTCATTCTTCTATATTGAAATGCTAGCTGTTCTTAAAAGATATGTCCCTTTCATTTCATTGCAGCCCATCACTTCTTGTGAGATGGCCAGCTATATAAATAAGATGAAATAAATAAGTCAATCTCAGAAGCAGCCAATAGATTAGCTAATGGTTAATGGTGTGTAGGAAGGTGTTTTCAAAAACTTTTGAAAAGTTACAAACGAAATGTATATAATTTGCCAAAGATAGTGGCAATACACTGAGAGTAGAATATCTGTTACGTTCTCTGGACTAGATGCATTGGCTTACCTCAGAAACCCATACTTTTGAATATACTAGACAATTTTTTAAAAAAAAGATTAAATCAACAATTCAGTTTCACTGACAATTTAAAACTTGATGCAATTAAACATAGTTCATATAAAAACTAGGATAGAGATTTGGAACTTCCTCTCTTAAACAATTTATAGTTTCAGACTTTTAACAATGTGAAATATATTTCCTATGATTCCAAAATGAAATCTATTTATCAAAATATTTTTTCCATATTTATTGGATCCCTCAGGGATGTTTTAGAAGTTTAGTTACCCTCTTTATCTTGGAGATAAAATAAATTTGAAGATACATTAATATGCATGGTTTGGTTGCTTAATAGTAGTTGGGTATTCTTATTATGAATCAGATATCTGGAAAGGAATTAAAGGTTAAGGATGCTAATATTGTGTTAAACTATATTCCCCAAATTTAAAATTCTTCAGTTCAGAATTTTGTGTATGCTATGCCTGGATTGTTGCTTATAAAATCAAGTGTTGCTAGAGTAACATTTGTGTAGCCAAAATCAGCTGAACAGTGTGGCATCCTTTGACTTTGTATCTTTTTTGATGTAAAGGAAAGACTCGACAATATAAAGCCGAGATTCAATGTGTTGTTTAAAAATAGAATTGTAGCAATGTTCACAGAATTGTAATAATTGTTATTTGACTTGAACCTCTTTCAATTTTTAATTTCCTCTTTTAAAACTTGTATTTCTACTGCATATTTCGCTTCTGTTTTGCAGTCCTAGCAAGGCAAAGAAATAATAATTTTAAGAAATTGTCACTGCACTATGCGGCTGGACTAATCCTTTCTCCAGGAAAGAAATGGGTGTGTTGAAGTAACAAGATTTGGAAACTTGGTAGTGTGGTTCATGGGAAATGAGAGAAGTTTCCATTTCCAGCCAGAACCTTGTAGTTCCAGAAATTGTTTCTATTAATCTGATTTTTGACTCTTGGGACAAGAACTCTAAATACAGTGCAATCCTTGATATGCAGAATACAATTCTCTTACTGATAATTGTGGGTTTGGTGAGGTTATAAATCATGTAACAGACCTTTTATTTAGCACATATATCCATGCAGTTCAAGCACTGCAAAAGAGATCCAAATGTTTTTCAGCATTCCTTATAAAACAGGGAAAGGGAATACTTTTCTGGTTGAGTATTGGAAACTGTGAAGAGAAGCCAACTCAGCAGATGATAATTGTATCTTTTAAGTGCTTAAATATGTTTGCTTTGCTACTCTTAAAGGAGCACCCTGTGTTTATTTTGAGGAAAATGCAGCACTTTTGCAGAGGGGAAAATAAATCAAAAATTTAATCTGGTGAATATTTTAGTTGCTTTGATTTTATGACCCCCCCCTAAATTTACTTATTTATGTGAGAATTGTTTTAAGTATGCATATATGGTACTTCTGGCTTGGTTTTAAAATTTTGTTTTGTTTCTACTTTGTGGGATGTTGAGCAACGATTTAGCTAATTTTTATCTGCAGAAAAAAAAATCACTTCTTTCCAAAAATACTTTGAGTAGAAACAGTTAGGGTGGAGCATTTTTTTTTAGCTTTTATTTTTTTTGACCCAAGTCGTAAGAATAACTTTCCATTATATTTCCTAACTCTATCTATGAAGAAAATGACTCAAAGCAGGCAAGTCACTTGTTTAAAATGTATATTTTGACTCATTATGTTGTGCAGAAAAAAAGATGTTGAAATGCAATTCTGCATCATTTCATTAATTTCCCAGGGTATTAAAGTTGAACTGGGTGGCACAGTGATTAGATTGTGGTATTGCAGGCAAACTCTGGCTTACTCCTAGGAGTTGGATCCTGACCAGCTCAAGGTTGACTCAGACTTCCACCTTTCTGAGATCACTAAAATGAGGATCGAAATTTGGGGGGACAATGTGCTGACTCTGTAAACTGCCCAGAGAGGGCTGTAAAACACTGTGAAGGGTATATAAGTGCTATTGCTATTAAAGTTATATTTTTTATTTTATTTATTTATTTGTCGAGTACGTATTAGATAATATATACTGCTCAAAAAAATAAAGGGAACACAAGCAGAAGACATCCGAAATCTGAATGAATGAAATAGCCTTATTAAATACTTTGTTCTTTACATACAGTAGTTTATACACTGCTCAAACAACTAAAGGGAACACAAAACTACTGTATGTAACGAACAAAGTATTTAATAAGGCTATTTCATTCATTCAAATCTCGGATGTCTTCTGCTTGTGTTCCCTTTATTTTTTTGACCAGTGTATATTAGTATAAGCATGAATTGAATACATAAAAGGAATACAATTAAAGGGAATACAATTAAAGGGAATATGGCAATGAATAAGCATGAATATGGCTCTACTGTGAGTTAATTCATACAAAGGATGCAACAGCACTTAAAAACCCCTTCTATTCTATAGCAATTGACCTCATAAGCCCAATGCTTTTTTCACAATATGATCTTCTGGGTGGCAGCATAGAGAATATTGTAAGTATGCAACGGTTAGGAGAGAGAGGGGGGAGGGAGGAAAGGAGAGAGAAAGATGGAGAGAGAGAGAGGCAGAGACAGAGAGAAGGAGAGAGAGATATATCTCACAATAGCTTGTGAATCTTTGCATTTCCAGCTTGTAAATATATTCATGGATCTCAAAATGGGACAGGTAAATTCTTAGGAAGCTACCATACCTGAAATTGGGTCCCTTTATTTATAAATCATATCTATAAAGCCAACCAAGTCAGAACATCTTTAGTCTCTTTGGATGGGACAATTTGGCTGTCTAATCCAGCATAGCCAACTTTGATTGGCAAGTTTTCAAGCAGAGATTTTTTTTTTTATTTCACAACTTTGATACTTTACTTTAAAAAAAAAAACAACCAGCCCCTTTAGACCTGCCATGGATTGGACTTGGGACTTTTATATGCAAAGCACATGTTCAACCACTAGATCTTAGATCCTCCCCCAAGCTTCCACTGTGACAGTGATTTTAACATCTTGTTCTTTGGGTGAGGAAGAAAGCCATTTTAAAAAAATATCTCTTTGTCTTCTTCTTCTTCTTTTCTTTCTCTCCCTCACTCCCTTTTCTTTCTTTCTTTCCCCTTCCTTCCTCTGCTTTCCAGGCCATGCTTTCTGATGGATGGACTGTGAGCCTTGGGATTCTGCTTATGCTCCAAGGAATGACGTGTGGGGAGAAGATAGCAGAAACTGGTAATGTGTGGGGACCTGTGTGGAGAGATAGAGTTCCAAACTTTGTCCATATTGTAGTTCTGTACCGATTTGCTTTCCCAACTTTTTGCACTCACAATGTAATCCAACATGCATTGACTTAGTTGTATGTATCTGTTCTGGATTCAGTGAAACCTGCACCCATGCAGTGACACTGGCCTAAGCTTGGCATCAGGGGTGAAATCCAGCAGGTTCTTACAGGTTCTGGAGAACCGGTAGTGTAAATTTTGAGTTCAGAGAACTGGCAAATACTACTTCTGGCTGGCCCCAGAGTGGGGAAGTAATGGGGATTTTGCAGTATCCTTCTCCTGGAGTGGGGTGGGAATGGGGATTTTGCAGTATCCTTCCCCTGGAGTGGGAATGGAGATTTTGCAGTATCCTTCCCCTGGAGTGGGGAGGGAATGGAGATTTTGCAGTATCCTTCCCCTGCCAAGCCCACCAAGCCGTGCCCACCAAGCCACATCACACCATGCCCACCAAATTGGATTTCACCACTGCTTGGCATCCATTGTTTATTCAGGTGACTTAGAGATTTCCAAGATGGAAAAGTCATATTGAAAGAAATGGTCAGGAAAGACTGTCAGCAAACTGGGGTAATTGTCAGATATATTGGCCGTGGATAACTTTTGCATTATTATTGTATTGTACCATTATTGTATTTTGAAGAAGAGGAATTAAGAATCGGAAAAGCAGAAAGACTAGAGAATCTAGGAAAGAGTCTAGGGAGGCTTTAATGAAAGGCCCCTCTAATGACCCATGGGCCACTGAGACATGCATGACATTTTTGTTGTACACCACCAGAGTGGGTTGCTTTGTGAGATGGGCAGCGGCATAAATTGGACAACTAAATAATTCACACGTTCATTTGATGAGTGACTTGAATGCTAAACAATGAAACCTTTTCAAAGGCAGATTTCTACTTGCAAACCTCCCTTGGAGATCTGGACCCTGTCGCCAGCGGTAGATCGGTCGATTTCATGCAAATTATCCCGGTTATCATTTAAGTTTTTATTTTCAATATCCTGAAAGATGGAGATTCCTCTTCTTCCTCTTCTTCTTCTTTTTTTAAAGATACCGGGATGAGAAAAATGAACAAGTTTTTTTTTTTTTTGACAAACTTATACTTGACTGTCTGACAGGATTTATCCCAGAATGAACTAATTACTCACACACCCATGATATAGATCAGGAGTCTCCAACCTTGGCAATTTTAAGACTTGTGGACTTCAACTCCTAGAATTCCTCAGCCAGCAAATTCTGGGAGTTGAAGTCCACAAGTCTTAAAGTTGCCAAGGTTGGAGACCCCTGATATGGATGATGTAAACATGTAACATAAATATATACAAACCCTTGAAATTCAAGTCGGTGCCAGGCAGCAGTCTCAAAAGGGCTAGTCCAGCTTGCCACTAAACCACTCTTTGCTAGTCCAGCTTGCCACTAAACCAGGGGTCAGCAACCTGCGGCTCTGGAGCCACATATGGCTCTTTCACCCCTTTGCTGTGCTCCCTTTCATTCAAAATATGTGTCACAACCACCAATGTGTGACACCTACCGGCACACAATTTATTGAGCTTTTCAACCCCCGTAGGCCAACCATGGATAAATCCAAGAAAAGTTTCAGAAGAAAACAGAACATTTAATTCAACTACATATGCTAGTTTTGTGGCCGCTCAAGAAATAGTCAGGCACGGGAAGGATTTTGTGGCTCCCGGTGTTTTCTTTTCTGTGGGAAACGGGTCCAAATGGCTCTTTGAGTGTTGAAAGTTGCAGACCCCTGCACTAGCCGAATAACAGATTGAAAATCCTGTTGGAATCCATTTTCCAAGGGGATGGCTTTACCCTAGTGCACCTGACAAGATCGTCACTTTAGAGCTTGTTTGAGAAGTGGATCCAAAGGAGGAGACGGGATCTGTGCAACCTTATGGATTTTTGGAAAGTAGAATGAGGAAGGGAGAACAGGAGAGAGAGGAAGGAAGACTCGGTGGGGAGAACGACAGGCTTCATTGTGGTCGCTTTGTGTTTCCTTTTCAGGATCCTGCCAGCCTCAGCCTTCCTGCCATGAGTGCATTCAGTCCCATCCCAGTTGTGCCTGGTGCAAACAGCCGGTGAGTCCTCAGTCTCGTGAGCCTCTCTTGCCATTTGTTCCCCTCCCTGTCCCGCTTCCAACACCACCTTAGAGGGACTCGGAATCCATTTGGTCTAAGAGCAGCATCCAGAGCTGAAAGATGTGGGTATCTTATCTTGTGGCTAAGAGGGTAGTCTGCAACACTCTCTTCTCTAGCCAGCTAAGAGGTGATGAAGAGAGAATACATTTCTAGCAACCTGAAGCCGGAACATTATGTTACCTGAACCTGCTGCCTTTGTGCTTTTTATCTCTTCCTTCCCAGTAACTGGTTGATTTGCCCCCTTGAGTAGTCTCACTGAACTGGAAGGTGAACCTTGAGGCTTTTGAGTTGAGGAGTTCTTGGTGAAGCTAAGCCAGGCAGCTGCGTTCTTTGCCAAGGTGCAAGATTTCCTTGAAGGCAGCAAATTCAGCAGACGGCAACTGGCAAGGCTGCCCTATGATTCACCCCTTTCCTTTCAGTCTCAGCCAATGTGTGAAGACTTGAGTCAGCAAAGACTCAACAGCAGCTGCCCACTCCAGGCAACCGTGGGAAGCTGGAAGCTACCAAAGGGCTGTGATTCTTTGGCTGGCTAAGTCTTCGTTCTATGATTTGGGGTTTTCCTAATCTCTTTTGGAGGAGTTTTTCAAAATAAAGCACAATAAAAACAGGCAACAGGATGGGCATTTTCCCCCCAGCCTTGATACCAAGTGGGAGCCATCCTCATTCCTCTTTCTTATCTGCTCTTCCCTGACCCCGCTCTAACCCCTCCAGACCAGTACAGGTAGTCCTCGGCTTACGGAAGTTCGGGCCTAGCTATCTTCGAGACTGCCTGCTGCTACCAACGACCTCCCATTGTCCCGTGCGCTCCCACAGAGAGGGCCTCCTCAGGGTGCCATCAGCCAATCAATGTAGGCTGGTGACCCCCAGGGGGAGGGCCTTCTCTGTGGGGGCACCTACCCTCTGGAATCAGTTGCCCCCAAAGATAAGGAGAATCCAAGACCTTAGCGCCTTCCGCCGTGCCCTTAAAACCCACTTTTTCCAGCAAGCTGGGCTGGCTTAAGAAGAAATCTTAAATGTTTTAATTGGTTTGTATTTTTAATTTTGGGCCAAATTTATATATATTTTAATTGTTTTTAATATTTGTATTTCATGTTTTTTAATTCTGGCTGTACACCGCCCTGAGTCTTCAGGGAGAAGGGCGGTATATAAATTTAAAATAAAATAAATAAAATAAACTTACAACAGCATTGAAAAATGTGACTTATGCCCCTTTTCCACAGTTATGACCTTTGCGGCATCCCCATGATCACACGGTCAAAATTCAGATGCTTGGCAACTGGTCCATACCTATGACCGTTGCTGTGTGCCCCAAGGTCAGGCGATCCCCTTTTTGTGACCTTCTGACAAGCAAAGTCAATGAGGAAGCCAGATTCACTTAACAACTGTGGCAAGAAAGGTCGTAAAATGGGGAAAAACCCTCTTAACAAATGTCTCACTTAGCAACATAAATGTTGGGCTCAATTGTGGTCATAAGTCAAGGACTACCTGTGTTCAGGTCCCCCAGAATTTATCTAGACAGCCGCCCCCATAAAGGACTTTCCAATCATGAGCATGTTTGCAAAGTAGTGTCTGCCACAAAGCAGGACCAACTAATGTGAGCCCCTCCCCTCCCCACCTGCCTGTGCCTGTATCATATGCTGCTGCAAAATGGGGTTTGTGTAGCTGATATCAGTACACATGCTTAGAGGCTGCAAACACACATCTTGTTCCTTGCTCCCCAGCACAAAAAACGGCTGGTCAGCCCAGCCCAGAGGTGGGTTTCAGCAGGTTCTGACCAGTTCGGGAGAACCGGTAGCAGAAATTTTGAGTAGTTTGGAGAACTGGTAGTAAAAATTCTGACTGGCCCTGCCCCCATCTATTCTCTGCTTCCCAAGTCCCAGCTGATCAGGAGGAAATGGGGATTTTGCAGTAACCTTCCCCTGGATTGGGGACAGAATGGAGATTTTGCAGTATCCTTCCCCTGCCACACCCACCAAGCCACGCCCACCAAGCCATGCCACGCCCACAGAACCGGTAGTAAACATTTTTGAAACCCACCAATGGCCCAGACGGCTTTTTTTCTGCTGACCAGATGACTGCAGGCCTCGTTTTTGCCATCAAGGCCTAATTTAAAATGCTAATTTGATTTATTTTAATTCTTTCTAATGGATTGGGATTTTTAAAAAAACAAACAAACAGGGAATCGAGTTATATGAACTGACTTTACCGGCTGTCTTTGATTTTGGACTTGTGAACCTGATTGCATCTGCCTGGAAAGTCCAAATTCATTTATTTCATTTGCTTTCTTCATTCACTCCTGTCGTCTGCCACCGCTTCTTCACCTATCTTTAAAAATACCGAATTAATATTAGAGAATTACTTCTGGATGCAAACAGAGGACTATCACTGGAGAGCAATAGCAAAATCCACATTTGTGTTGAAGAAGTACCGCATCTCCAGTCCCAGGCCTTCATATTGGAGGAGCATATTCAGAGAATATTTTTATAATACCTCAATCAGTTTGATGTAATGTTTAAAGGTGCCAGGGAACTGGGAGACTGTGAATTCTAGTCCCACCTTGGGCAGCTGGGGAACTTTGGGCCAGTCACTCTCTCTCAACCCTAAGAAGCAGGCAAGGGCAAACCATTTCTGGGGAGAGGAGGGAAACCTTGCCAAGAAAATTTCAGGGACTTGTTCAAGCAGTTTCCAAAAATAAGACACAACTGAGCAGAAGAAGAAGAAAAAAAGTTAATTACAGGTAGTCCTTGACTTATGACCACAATGGACCCAAAAATTGATATTGCTAAGTGAAACATTTATTGATGTCCCATTTTACGACCTTTCTTGCCACAGTTGTTAAGTGAATCACTGTAATTGTAATAATGTTGTGAAGCTAGTTTCCCCATTGACTTTGCTCATCAGAAGGTTTCAAAAGTGGATCTCGTGACCCGGAGACACTGCAACCATCATAAATATGAATCACTAGCCAAGCATCTAAATTTGGATCACGTGATCATGGAGAGGGATGTTGCAGTGGTTGTACGTGTAAAAAAATGGTTATAAATAACTTTTTTTCAGTGCCGTTGTACCCTTTGAACGGTCACTAAATGAATGGTTGTAAGCCAAGGGTTAGTTATACTGGGCTCCTCCATTGCTAGGTTCTCCTTACCAGATCCCTTTCTTGGGAACTATATGAAGAACCAGGATAGTGGAAGTTTTCAGCCGTACAACCTCAAGACCAGGGATGGGCTGCTGGGGGTTTGCAGGGGTTCGGGAGAACCTCTAGCTAAGATTCTGTGCAGTTCGGACAACCCCCAAATCCCATTCCTGACTGGCCACTCCCACCCCACCCCACCTCTCCCAGAAGTCCCCACACGGCCCATTTTGGATGCAGGCAAGTGCAGGGCATGCGTGGAGGCTCGGGGAGAGCGAAAAACGGGCCTATTGGAAGTTCGGGAACTCCAGAGTCTGGGTAGGCCGTTTTTGCCCTCCCAGAGGCTCAAGGAAAGCCTCCGGAGCCTGGGGAGGGCAAACCCTCCCCCCACCATGGTGCACAAGGCTGACTAGGCCACACCCACCATAACCACAGCCACCCAGCAACCAGGCAGAGAACCCCTTGCTAAAAATTTTGAAGCCCACCCCTGCTCAAGACAAAACTTGAAGAACCCACAGCTGGCATCTCTGTTTAGTTCAAGTTCCGTGTGCAAGAGAAGGGATGGGTGGGTGGACTCTCTTTGGGTAAAATAATCTCCTATAAAATTGCACCACCATTTCCACAGTAAAAGCAGTCCCGATTCCCACAGAAGCAGCCCCACCCACCTTGGGTAATAGTTACCGTGATGGCCGGAAAATCCCCTCAGGTGCTACTCCAGTTGCAGTGAAAGAACTCACCACATCCTGCCCAACTGCTTGTCTGTATTGTGTGTTTAACTACTATCTTTCGTGACGGTATCTCCTAGCACCAGACCATCTTTTTGTGGTCAGTGGTCCCTCTAATGACTTTGAAGGGTGTCAGCATAATGAAGCGTTGTGCTCGGCGGGGCTGGGCTGAAATGTGGGGCCCCTTCCTCTTGCCTTGAGGGCGTTTAAAAGGGAAAAACAGGAGGTTAAGCCGGTCAGAGGCAGAAACTTTTAACTGTAAAAAGTGTTACTGAAAATTAGTTCTTTATCGCCAAATGTCAGGGTACTGCAAACACGAGGGTTTTCCTGAGCTGGGAAAGACTATGCTTTGTCAGACCTGAGTTGGGAGGGGAGAAAACTCACCTCCGTTAGCCAGGTGGTAAAGCAACAATTGTACTTTTCGAGTTTGCCCTCAGTCCTGAAACTGTGGTGCATTGCATGGAACTGTAGTATATGTATATGTGTGCAAATGTGCACACACATGTATCCCTGGGTGCCAGGGGTGAAATCTAGTTACCTTCCCTACCGGTTTGGAAGTGCATGTGCCACCCACACACATCATATATGCACGCGGACTCTCTATGCATGCGCAAACCCTTCTGTGCATGCGCAGAGGGTAGAAAACAGGTTACTTCCTGCTTAAAACCAGGAAGTAACAATGACCGGGTGGCTGGGTGGGTGGAGCCTAGCATTGCCATCGCTACTGGTTCTCCGAACCACCCACCGCCATCGTTACTGGTTCAGCTGAACGGGGCCGAACCGGTAGCATTTCACCCCTGCTGGGTGCACATATGAACAGAAAGTGAGTTGTTTCCAACTGGATCTACCAAAACTCCCAGAATGCCTCAACTTCAAAGCAGGCGGCTTTAAGTGTTTCAGAATTGGTCCGTTCTTTATGCAGCCTGTTCTTTATCCAGTCTTAAAGCCACAGATTTGGAATCAGTTTATTCCATGATGGAAGTATTTGCATACTTTGGAGGAGAGAAAGAGAGAGAATTTTAGTTCTGTGAGTGAAAACTTCAAACTGGGCCGGGAGTTATCTAGGTTGAAATAGATAATAT